CTTCGCCTCCGCCTTCACGGGCGTCCATCTCGTGCCGTCGCCGGCCCTCGTCACGCGCCGCCCGGCCCACCCCGCGCGGCGCGCCGCCCCGCGCATGGGCGCGGGCCAGCTGCGCGAGATCCGCGACCGCATCAGCTCGGTCAAGAACACCCAGAAGATCACGGACGCCATGCGCCTGGTCGCGGCCGCCAAGGTCCGCCGTGCGCAGGACGCCGTCCTGCGCACCCGCCCCTTCTCCGAGGTCCTGCAAAAGGTCCTCGGCGGCCTCATCAACCGCCTCCGCGGCGACTTTGCAGACCTCCCGCTCCTCGCCCCGCGCGAAACTAACAAGGTCCTGCTCGTCGTCATCACGGGCGACCGCGGCTTGTGCGGCGGCTACAACAACTACGTCATCAAGAAGACCGAGAACCGCATCAAGGAGCTCAAGGCTGCTGGTGTTGCCGTCGAGCTCATCACCATCGGCCTCAAGGGCCAGACCTACTTCAAGTCCCGCGAAACCCCCATCAACCGCCACTTCCTCTGCACCCAGGCCCCCACCGCCGAGCAGGCCACCAGCATCTCCGACCAGCTGCTGGCCGAGTTCCTGTCCGGCGACGCCGACCGCATCGAGCTCGTCTACACCCGCTTCGTCTCCCTCATCGCCTCCGAGGCCGCCCTGCGCACTATCCTCCCGCTCTCGCCCCAGGGCCTGGAGTCGGAGGAGGACGAGATCTTCCAGCTCACCACCGTCGACGGCGCCCTGGGCGTCAAGGTCGAGACCGTTGACCGCGCAGCCCCCGAGAAGTTCCCCCCTGACATGATCTTCGAGCAGGACCCCCTCCAGATCCTCAACGCCATCCTCCCGCTCTACCTCAACGGCCAGATCCTCCGCACTCTGCAGGAGTCCGTCGCCTCCGAGCTCGCCGCCAGGATGAGCGCCATGTCCAACGCCTCCGACAACGCCAAGGAGCTTGGAAAGGACCTCAGCCTCACCTACAACCGCGGAAGGCAGGCCGCTATCACCCAGGAGATTTCCGAGATTTGCGCAGGCGCTATGATTTGATTTCATCGCGCCCTGCCCCTTGCCCGTTCCCCGTTTTGCTTCCGTCCACGCCCTCGCCTTGTCGCCGCTCCCCGCCCCCAGTCGCTGCCCGCTGTCGTGCGAATGCCTTTTGACATTCGGCCCCGCCGTGCCTTATAGAGTTGCGTTTATTTCTCCCGATCTTGCGCGCCGTTGTGCGTCCCGCGTCGACTAAAAAGAGTTCTTTCATCCGTTTTGTTTAGCCCCTTCTCCCCTTCGTTTTGGGCCAGTACCAGTACCCCGTTTCGTCCTTCCCTGCCGCTTGTCTTCTGGAAGGAAACAACAATAATTTCTCTCGCTTTGCTTCTCGTGCGAAACTACATTCTCGACCTCAACCCAACCCGACATGTCGCGCAGAGTTTTGCAAAAACCTAATCTACATCGCAACCTATGCTCACAAAAAGGACCCGCACACGCCCTTAGAGTGGTGGAAGTTGATCTGGCGTATCCTTGTGCTTCAGCACCTTATCCCCATCCACGTACGGCTTCACAGTGTGCCCGTTACCAAGCAATTTGTACTTGTAGATCATCAACCCCTCCAGCCCGACCGGCCCCCGAGCGTGCGTCCGGTGCGTGCTCACGCCGACCTCGGCGCCAAAGCCCAGTCGGAATCCGTCTGCAAACCTCGTCGACGCGTTGTGGTACACCCCAGCCGAGTCCACCATCCCCAAAAACCGCCTCGCTGCCCCCTCATCTTCCGTGATGATGCAGTCCGTGTGCCCGCTCCCGTGCTCGTTGATGTGAGCGATCGCTTCGTCAACACTGTCCACCACCTTGACCGCCAGAATCAACTCCAGGAACTCCGTGTCGTAGTCGACCGCCGACACATCGACCACCTTGAGCCCCTTCACGCTATCTAAGACAGCCTTTGAGGCTGCATCCGCCCTCAACTCCACACCGGCCTCCGCGAGCGCAGCCCCAACAACCGGAAGGACGGTGTTTAGTGCGCTTCGGTGAACTAGCATTGTTTCCGCCGCATTGCAAACGGCAGGGTATTGCGCCTTCGCGTCGACGACGATATTCGCAGCCTTGCTCGGGCTTGCGGTCTCATCGACGTAGACGCTGCATATCCCATCCGCATGGCCCATGACGGGAATCCGCGTGTTGTTCGTGATGTATTTCACTAGAGCGTTGGAGCCCCGCGGAATGATAAGATCAATGCATTTGCTCTGGTCTAGAAGCTCCCTTACCTCTTCTCGAGTGGCGACAAGCTGTACGGCATCCTCTGGAAAGTTTACACTTTTCAGACCTGCTCTGATCGCTTCAACAAGCGCTGCATTTGACTTCTCCGCTTCCTTTCCTCCCTTCAAAATGACAGCATTCGCAGACTTGACAGCGAGGGATGCGATCTGTACAGCGGCTTCCGGCCTCGCCTCGAAGATGACACAAATAACGCCAATCGGGCATGCGACGCGATATAACTGGAGCCCGTCGTCGATTTGCCTGGAAAGCGAACATTCGCCCACAGGATCTCCAAGTGAACGCACGGATGCGATACCGGTGAGAACGCCGTCAAATTTTGCTCCTCCCAACTCTAATCGTTTGACAAGAGATGCCGAGATCTTTCCTTCGGCCAAACGTGCTTTGGCCGCCGAAATGTCCGCGACGTTGGCCTCTAGGATTCTGTCTTTTGATTTCGAGAGTTGCTCACGCATTGCGGAGAGCGCGGCATCCTTCTCTGATGAAGATACGGAAAGCATCGCTCGAGACGCCACGCGTGCCCGACGAGCGACGCTCTCAATGATTGACGGTTCTTGTGAAGCTCCGTTCATACCGGGAGGTATTCCTGCAGAGCAGTGTTCTTAGAAAAACAGGAGACTGAGATGCACGTTACCGTAAAAGTAAGCAAAGCAAGAGGAGATTGTGCGGATGGCATAGAAGTTTTCGAAAGGGGCCGGGCATCATGCTTTGGGATTCGCGACTCATATCGTATGAAACGAGCACTTCATTGAAATATCTCAGGTGCTGAATCCTATCTGAGGTTGACATATTTTTTCCGCAATTTCTGGTGTCTTAGGAGACAAGCGACTTGCCTCATATCTTATGGGGCGGCTTCGTTTTTTTGCAGAAATATATACATTAAATCGAACATTAATGAAGTCGATTTGGACACTATTTCTTTAACGTACTTGCCCTCGGCATTAACATCTTGCAGAACATTGAGATAGCAATTTTGGGACACAACGAAAATACCAAGAATTTATAATAATGTAGCTGCAAGAAGCTGCGGATTTTTTGAATGGGCGTTTGGCTTTCGAAGATGTGAATACAAGACACAAGACAATTCAAGGTTACTCAGAAAAGCATTTTTCCAGGCATTTCTAATAACGACCGGAAAGGAAGTGCAGTTTTGACAAGAATTCACCCTTCTGCAACGCAGGCGTCAATTACGATGGCGAGGGTATCCTTCTTCTTCTTATCAAGCAAGCACAAGTCTAGAAAGAATAAGTTGAAAGCAGTCTCAAACGAGCCCACTTGTCATCTATACACGAGAGAGAGAATCACAAAAGCTATGTGTTCCGTAAGTCACTATCGCAAACTCTTTACTGAGGCCATGCCTCTGAAAGCCTTTCAAGCGTTTCGCAGCAGATAAAAAGGTATGAGGGAGGATGTCTACAGCGGAGGTCGAGTTAATGAAGTTAGTACTTCATCCCAAGTAGAGAATGTTAGGAGGCCTCTGGTTCTTCAGGTCCATTCAACATGATGAGTAGTAACTCTCCGCCAAAGAGGGTCCAAATAAACAACGTCAGAAATAAGGGAACGATAACCAACCTGGTACATCCAAGAACTGAGTCTCGCCCCGAAGCATGTTTTCTCTTGAATACAAGTATTCTTACTAAGTGTAACCCCGCTGCAATAGAGTTGTTCGTATGCGCTCTGTATGAAAGCTAAAGTTGGTTCTAAGCGCATGCTTTCTGACTGTATGTAGAGCATTTTTTGCAGTAGATCTGTTGTTGTATTTCTGGAGCATTGCGCGCAACTCTTTGAGAGTATTCTAGCAGTTGAGAATTAAGTCTTTTCGCTCTTTTTTCAACACAGCCCGTGCCAAATGTACACCAACGGCGTGATGCAGAATTTCCGCTCGTGCTGTTTGACCAGGACATCATTACCTTACATTACTAGAGGGCGTGACAGGGGCGCGATAGGCACGCTCTCAATCACACACTGTAGCAACTGGCAAAGGGCTCCTTCACGACCAAGCGGCCCCGATCGAAACCTACGGACGAAGAGGGTCGCGGGGATATCTCTGTGGTTTTGCTTTCACAATCGTCCTCATGGTGCTTCACCTCCTGTTGAGACGCTCTGGAGGGCAGTGAGCAGGAGCAAAGGCGAGAAACCATCGGGCCCTCGGCTGCGGCCCGGGTCTAATAACGGTGCCCAAAAAGGCATGAGACATGACGCTTAGGCCCTGGCGGGTCCTGCAAGCAACGGCCGCACTGTAGGTTGGCGCTATTTGTTGAGAGTTGCAGTACTAGAGTTGATGTGGAGGTTTTCATGTTGAGGTGTGAAATGGCTTACAGCGGTTAGGATGGAGCAAGCGAGCTCAGTGCGTATAGGGGCATGCACTCGTACACATGAGGTACGGCGTGCTGTGATGTAAGAAAGGTGAGGGGCGCTGTATGTTTTGCTTTTGGGAAGCGCGCGGATATACAACCAGGAGGGGGGATTCATGAGCGTTGGATGGAAACCGAGCATCCATTGTCAGCACATGTTTTCATTAGCAATACGTTGTACTTGCTTTTATAAGTGGACGGGAGGTGGCTCTATGCCAACAGGTTGATCGAGAAGACTGAGGCGGTGTTTGATGGGATGGTGAAAATGACAGGGTTTGCGTAACACATAGGAATAGTGTGCAAAGCAAAACGTAGCTGCACTTCTAAGTTCGAAGTGGACAGAAGCGATAGACGTTGCTGGTACATTGCTGTTGAGCACAGGTGCATGTACTGTGCGTCGTCGTGAAGTTATGCAAGGCAAGGGCGGGAGGGGCAGGTCAACTCATTCGTGTTTCGTGCCAGGAAGGAAAAGGAGTGATGAAACGTGCACGCGATACGTCTCTCTCTGGGCGTTGTTCATTGCTCTGCTTGAATGACTTACTCTTTCCCAGTGGAAGGCGATATGGCAGGACTCAAGCCTTCCTCTGCCGCCAGCTCACTAATGTTTTTTGCTTCTGCACCCCCGACTATCAGGTCTTTGATCAGATCTTTAATTAGACAGTCGGGGGTGCGGAAGTAAAACATTGGTGACCTGGCAGCAGAGGAAACCTTGAGTCCTGCCATACGGTACCCTTGGGTACCCTTGGTATCGTCTTCCACTCGGAATGATCCAAAGGCGTGTGCGTCTCTGGTGAGGTGGAGAGAGGATGTAGACCGCCTCTCCAGCCGGGTTCTCCAGCGAGAGTGCTGAGACGGAGGACGTGTGCACGCCAGAGAAACGGCCAGTGAAATGGCGTGCATCTGTGTACCGTTGGCCATTGGGCCTATCAGGCTAGAGAGAGGTTTAATTTACTCTACGAATGGTAGAAACGTTTGGTAGAAACGTTGCATGCGTCCGAACAATGAACATTTCCATGCCATAACGCGCCCGTCCCACTACAAGTGCGCCGCACTATCTCAACACTTACAACAAAAGCATTGCTACGCTGCTGTGCACGTGCGGCAACAGAAGGCTATCTATAGACCCTCTGTGAACGAGTACGTACAGTAAGATGATAGTATAAGGTAAAGTTATATCATCGACAAGCCCCGCCGTCCCACCTCTCGCCACCCCGACAGAGCAGCCGCCCCATCTCCCTCTCCTCGCCAATACAAAACGCCAGTGGAACGACTCTCTATACAGTGTGCGCACAAGCTCACTTTGAATATTCGCGTCACTTGGCTTATCGATATCAATACTGCCTGATCATCCCCGCAGGAAATCAGCAACCCCTCCAGCACCACCACCAACGGACGCGGCAACAATACCTTGCGACGCCCCCTCCCCTGCCTACTTAACCGTCCCACGTCCCCTTGCCCCGATCGCAGATTCCCGCCTCCTCCCGTCCCGCTGCGCTGCACCATCCCCCTCAGCGCGCACAATGCCTACCCGCACCATGTCAACCACATTCCTCGTCGCGCTCCTGGCCCTCTCCGCGCTCCTCCTCGTCGCCACGGCCGCGCCGTGCGACGGCGCGGACGACACGTGTCTCTCGCCGCTGCAGCACAACCGCGTGGGCTCCTCCTCCTTCCAGCGCGGCGGGCGCGGCGGGCGCGGCAGCCGCCGCCCGGGCCGCCCCGGCGGCAGCGACGACGACGAAGAAGAGGAAGAAGAAGACGAAGAGCAAAACGAAGAGCAAGACGATGACGATGACGACGACGACGACGACTTCTGCTTCCCGGGCAGCGCCCAGGTGCACGTGCAGGGCGCGGCGGCGCCGGTCGCCATGCGCGACTTGCGCGTGGGCGACCGCGTGCTCGTGGCGCCTTGCGTCTTCTCGCACGTCTTCTTCTTCGGCCACCGCGCGCCGTCCGGCCGCTTCCGCTTCGTGCGCCTGCGCACCGCGCGCGCCGCCGTCACGCTGAGCGCGGGGCACTACGTGTACGCCAACGGGCAACTGACGGCCGCGGGCGACGTGCGCGAGGGCGACGTGCTCGAGGCTGCGGACGGTGCCGCCGCGCCCGTCACCGCCGTGGAGACGGTGCGGGAGGAGGGCCTGTACAACCCGCACACGCTGCACGGCGACATCGTCGTCGACGGCGTGCGCGCAAGCTCGTACACGCGCAGCGTCGACGCCGGCCGCGCGCAGGCGCTGCTCGCGCCCCTGCGCGCCGCGTTCCGCATGCTGGGGGTCGACGTGGCCAAGGGCTGGATGGATCACGGGGCGCCGGCGGCAGGCGTGGCGAGAGCGCTTCGCAGGGGCGGTGTCGCTACTACTTGATCGGGGTGGCGACGCATCGGTTTCGGCGGCTGGGGTGGTGCTGCTGCGTGTCTGCACGAGTTGTGGCGAGGGTGAGGCTTCGATGCAAGGGCGGACTGGGGATGGGTACCTGTCCGCAAATTTGCGGAGCTGAAGGAGTGGGGCAAGTGCCCGCGATTCGTTGGTTGCGGGAATGGTGTATGTAATACATACACCATACTTACTATGTATGTGTTCTGGTTCGGGGGGGGGGGGGGGGGGGGGGGGGGAAGGGAAGTAGTCACTCATCTTCCGCGCACCACTTTACTTAGCCTCGTGACTCAAGATACTCGGTCATGTTTCGTAACGGGAAGGGGAGGGGTGGTGGTGACGTGGACGCGAAGCAATTGGGTGTACCCTTTCCTGCACACATTGCTTCTCCTCACGTGCGCGGTGTGGGCAGAGGGTACGTGCAGTCCCCTCTGCTGAGGTGAGGTGATCGCCGGGGCAGAGGTATTGTCCGTTGAAATAGCAGTCCCCTCTGCTGAGGTGAGGTGATCGCCGGGGCAGAGGTATTGTCCGTTGAAATAGCAGTCCCCTCTGCTGAGGTGAGGTGATCGCCGGGGCAGAGGTATTCCGTTGAACTTGCGCAAGGCGGAATCAATGCTGCACCAACGGCCCCCCAGAAACACTTCCACACCGCATAAATTCTCAGGCGACCCAGATTACAAACGCCTAAACAAACAAAAAGCCACCCTCCCGTCCGCTCTCAATTTCAATTTCCCCGGCACACTACTTCTTTCTCCACCGTACCGAACTTCTACCAACACTCTCCTCCGCAGAGAGTTGTCCAAACTTCTATCCAGAACAAACACCCCGCCCAACCGCCGCCACGTCCTA